GGTCTTTGTTTTTCCCTCTGTCTATGGCAAGCAGCCTAAGAAATCTGCACACAGCCTGGTAGCATCCAGCAAAAGAACAGCCTAGGTTCCAGCCAACCTAGGGAAAAGTATGTCCATACCTGAATGTATCCTGCCCTATTCCAACTATCATCATCCTGTCCTCCAAGAATGCATGGAAAAGAGTCAACAAACTACGTTAAACTTTTTGTGGTCACAACAGGCATTAATTATCTCATTTACCAAAACCAAATATGTTATTGTCATAACTATTGGAATTTCTGAAATATAGGGTAATGCATACCCAGTGATTTTTCTTGAGCCCAACCTTATTACAAGATAACTTTGCCTTGGGGCTGGAGAGATGGCTCAGTGGCTAAGAATACTGACTGTTCTTGCAGAAGACCTGGGTCCAAATCCCAGCACCCATGGCAGCTAACAACTGTCCGGAACTCCAGTTCCAGGGGATCCGACAGCCTCTTCTGTTCTCCAGGGGCATTGCACGACACGGGTCACTCACCTACATGCATGTATAACACTCATACACATAAAATAAAAATAATAAATAATTTTTTTGAGACAGGGTCTCCCTGTAGTCCCAGCTGGCCTGGAACTCTCTATGTAGACCAGGCTGGCCTCAAACTCACAGAGATCTGCCTGCCTCTACCTCCCAAGTGCTAGGATTAAAGGTGTATGCCGCCACGCCTGGCAATAAAATATTTTTTAAAAAAGAGATAACTTTGCCTTTTCCTAGACTAAGTCTTACTGGATTGGGGGGAACTGCTTATCTGCCCTCCTTGGCCCTTGCTTGAGAAATGGGTAGACGTATGTCTGCCTGGTTCACACACACCAGCTATCTGATTATTCTGTTTTGCTCTGAAAATGCTCCCACCATCCTCCTTTGCTTTGTTAGCTCTTATTAGCACAAAGTCAGCAAGAATTTCTGGGTTGTGGTCTTCACTTGGGGTTATGGAATGGCTATGGTTCTAGTTCTTAAATGGTAGATTTCTGTTTGGCCTGCTCATGCTTTCCTGTTCCTCTCCACCCTGCCATACTCTGTAAGAAAATAAAATAATTCATCCCCAAACAGGGTTCATGTGCACACGTTTTAATAACAGAGCCTCAAGTGATAGCATTTCTCAGCCTCCCAAGCTTCCCCTCCTGAGCATTTTCTCAAAATCAGGCTCTAAATACTTCAAAGAACTCTGCTTCCAACCCAGGCAGAGCTATTCCTGTGAATTACTTTTGCTTTTCATAGGAAGTGATCTAGACCAGTCATTTCTGAGCTTGCTTGCTTACTAGCAAGCTTCAGGAATAGGGTCATGAACTTGAAGCATTCTGAGCATATTTCCAGCTTCTCTATTTCCAGAAAAGAGTGTAATTTCATTTCAAAAATTATGAGTCTCATGTTTGGTGTGGTGGTTCATACCTGTCGTCCTGGCACTCAGGAGGCTAAGGAAGAAGGATCACCACAATTACAGACTAGCCTGGGCTACATACAGAGTGAGACCCTGATTCCAAAGAACCAGTAAGAAGGGGGAGGGGGGAGAAGGAAGAGGGAGAGGAGGAAGAGAAAGAAGGAAGGAAGGAAGGAAAGAAGAAAGGGAGGGAGGGAGGGAGGGAAGAAAAAAAGGAGAAAGACAGAAGAAAGAAACATAAATTACAAGTCTCTTCATTGTTTGAAACCAGTTTCCAGTTATTAATTCAGTAGAATTGGGGTTTTATTTTTAGACTTTCTTAGAGAGCTCACACAATATTGTGAAAGCCCATAGTACAGAATATCTGACTCTACCCAACATGGAAACAGCATGTTAAAACATATGTGCATATTCCTTGATTCCATTACCACTAATATCCATCAACAGGTTCTGTTGGTTCTAGTTCCAAATTATAGTTTATAGTTTAATATTTATTTAAATATTAAAATTATATTTTAATATTTTATTAATTAATGTGTATGAGTGTATTGCCTGCATGCATGTAAGTGCACCCATGTTGTGCAATGCCTGCAGAGGTCAGAAGAGGGCATCGGATCCCCTGGAACTGAAGTTAAGGACAGTTGTTAGCCACAATGTAGATGCTAGAAACTGAACCTGGGTTCTCTGTGAGAGTAGTCAGTGCTCCTGACCACTGAGCCATCTCTCTAGCCCCCCACATTATATTTTTATTGTGGGCTATAGCAACATTTCCTAAAGGCTCCCAGCTTCCATAAACATAAAGCTCCTTGACCATCCATTGTTCAGACCACTGCTAGAGTGATATTTGTAGAACATCTGTCAGGTGACTTCGCTGCTTTAAACCATCCAGTGGCTTTCTATTGAAAGTAGAAACCAACCTCTCCCTTCAGTCCAGAAGGTCCTTCATGACATGATAAGAGCCAACCTCTCACTCTGTGTTCCAGCCTCAAGGATTTTCTCTCCAAGAATTCATCAGGCTCATTCACCCTCATAGTCTTTATACAAATTCTTCCCTTGGTTGAATATACTCTGCCTGCAGCTTTTTGCATGGTTATCTTCATTATCCACTGTCTGTATACCCTTATCACTTGTGATGCTTAATCTTCACTGTCAAATAAACAGGACATTAGCAATGGTGTTTTACTTCCCCAAGATGAATAGGGTGGTGGGATATGAATGGGAAATGGTGACATTAGAGATGACCAAAGTGATCAGCCCTTCAGCCCTGCTGGTGACTGTTTTCTCCTGAGCATTTCTCCATCCATTTTGTCCAAAACTTACATAATTTTCAGGACTTAATATTTCTCCTTATCTAGGTTGTTTTGGCTCATATGTATTTTTTCTTTTTTTCTGTTTTTTTTGGGGGGTGTTGTTTGTTTTTGGCTTTTTGAGACAGGGTCCCCCTCCCTGTAGCCACAGTAGATCAGGGTGGCCTCGCTCTCACAAAGATTCACACGCCTCTGCCACCCAAGTGCTGGGATTAAAGGCATGTGCTACCATGCCCAGCTTCACATGTATTTTTTGAGGTGATAAAATAAATGTTTTCTTTTGAAAACTCATAACATAGCTTTCTCTATTTTTTTAATCTCCAGAAGATACCAAAAAACTTCACTAAGGAGCATGATCAACTGCATGGGAAAATAAATGCCTGCAGAGTGGAAATAGGTGGGGCAGTGAGGAAACACACAGATCCCCAGATTACTAATATGCAAATCACTGAGAAGCAAGCTGAGTAAATGACTTCAATTCCCATCAACAGCTTCAGAGAGAGACCAGTTTTAATCACCTTCTGCATTCTCTATTATGTATATAGACCTTAAACATTGCTTTTGTAAAACAAAACCAAAACATCCCCTTCCAGTTTTAAAGATAATTCACAGATCATGGAAATTATCTAATTTAGATAAGTCAGCTAAGTAGTGAGTCTCTAGAGCCATTTTTTACAGATGTGAATGTCATGACCATGCTGTCAGATCATCAAGGCTATGTCTGGGGTCTTGAACATCATTTTTAGGGAAAGGAACTGTTAAATGGAAACTTGCTCGTGCACATGTGTATAAACTGGATTACCACATAAAAAAGACTATATTTTATTATAGGCCAGTCACTAAAGCTGGGAAAACTTTTATTCCACTATTGAGGACCCAAAATATATTTGAAAAAGGGAATATCTGAGCTGAGACTCCAAAGTCTATTACAATTTTATTGATGCCAGAGAGTTCCACATTCCCTTCAGATCCTTAAAGATTATCATCCCCAGTATTTTCCAAATTAAAAATAAAGATGGTAGTATTTTAAGAATGTGAAAATTCTGACCTGGGGAAGCAAAAATTACAACCAAGTCAATGAGTTTCTCAGTATCCATTCATAATATACTACTTTTAAATTGCAGTTTAAGTGAATAAGTAGGAAAAACAATGAGTTCAGCTATGAATGGAAGAAAGGCCCTTGAAGTCCAACAGTGAGAAGCCCAAGGCTTAAATTGTGACACAATGTTCTGTGCAGCTCCCATGGTTTCATCTTGGACTCACCCACATTTCCAGTTACCAGAAGGGTGTCAGCCTCACCAAGAATACACTTCCCTCACCTGGACAGTAGAGTGGCAGTACAGCAGATCCACAGCATTCTTCAAAGGTATGGCTCAAGATGGGAAGTTCTTTGAATGACAAAGCAGTTTCATTATGTCGAGGAACTTTGAGGAAGTCACCAAATCCACGATTTAAAAATATATTTTCTATTACAAATACACACCTACTTTCTAGAATAAAAATGAATGCCATGTGGATGTGTTGTTAACGATATGTATCAAGTTAGGTCAAGATGTTTAGGCATCTTGAAAAGCTTTATAGCAGAAAGGGGGAAAATGAGGTACAGAATTTAATTAGGTGTTTAGAATCTGAAGAAAAAGCTGAAGTCTGAAATCTCGTGACTTTAGACGTTCAGTTTTAAAGTGCTTGCTGCTCAAATATGAGGATCTGGATGAGGATCCCAGAAACCACATAAGATCCAGTGGTGGCATGGATGTTAAGCCCCGGGCTGGGGACAGAGACCGGCAGATCCCTGGAGTTCACGGGCCAACCAGTGTAGCCAGTGGGAGTTCCATGTTCAGTGAGAGCCCCTCTCTCAAAAAACTAGGTGGACAGCTGTAGGAGTTTAGTAGCCGATGTGGACCTCTGGCCTGCACATGCACAACACACACACACACACACACACACACACACACACACACACGGTTTAATTCAGTTTACTCCTAAATAGTCCTTGCAGGATACCTGATTTACAAGAAAACCAACTGTTAATTTTCACTTTTGCTTTCGGTTTTGTTTGTTGGAATTTTTTCTAGACTGGATCTTACTAGATAACCCTGGCTGGCCTTGAAATCACAGAGGAGTCCCCCGGCCTCGGCTTCCTGGGTGCTGGACGTGTGCCACCACGCCCAGTTTACTAGGCATCTTAAATATATAAAGGCAACAGAAACCCGCGTAGGCTGGAATGAAATCCTACAGGCCTGGCGCTGCTGTAGGCGGGGCTTCGGGCTGACTAGGCGAGGCCCTGCGGCCGGGGAGGTTATAGCTCCGACCCCCAGAGGTCGGGCTGCCAGCCTGCGCTGCACCCGGGTGTCGGTGCCACGTGTCGGCGCCCGCCAGTCTCCCCCCAGCAGGTAGGCCGCAGAGCCCGGAGCTGGCTTGCGGGACACTTTAGAGACGGAGGGTCCCTAGGCCAGCAGGTAGGCAGCGTGCTCTCGCAGAGCCCGGAGCTGGCTTGCGGGACACTTTAGAGACGGAGGGTCCCTAGACTCTTTGAGGATGGAGAGGGGGAGGGAACAGGGAGGCGCGATGGGTTAGCGGCAGCACAGCCCAGTGCCTGGCAGGATGAAGACCACAGAATCCGCAAGGTTCAGGTCTGGTGACAAGGCGCTGTTCAGTTTGGCTTTAACGTCAATCTTGTATGTGATTGTATTCATGAATGCGATCTTAGGGGAGGTAGCTGCGTCAGAAGAGATATTTCTAGGCTGGGCATCCTGACCCCAGGGTCCTGGTCTAACTTAAGCTGTTCATTAGCATTGTGACTGGATATGATTTCCAACTGTATTGTCTCCTGAGGTTCCTTCCTATGCCAAGATCCAGGACTCTGGAGCCTAAGATTTAACCTAAAGGAGTCCTGGAGGATGAGTGGAATAATTTAAGAATAAGAATGCTGAAACATTTCTTAGACACACTGACCTTGGTCTATGTCAAAGTTCTGGTTGGGGTTATCCTAAGGAGGAGTGAAAGTAGGATTGTTCTATCTTACTGCATTAAAAACATATACAACCAGAATAAATGACAGGATGCTTTCCTATGAATTAAATAGCTTTCTATGTCTTTTAATTGCTGGGTAATCAAATGGCATTACTCTTCCATCCATGGATGGAAAGGTTATTAATAGTGGGTTGCTACCTCAGTCATTCCCTGAGCATCACTACATGTGACTGTCTAGGACCCTGATGGGTTTTTTTCCTTTAGATAAATTACTACAAGTGTAACTACTTAGTCAGGCCTGAATATTTGATAGACCTTTATATAGATACTGAAAAGTGAATTCCAGGAAAGACCTGCCAGTTGACAGTGACAGTGACTAACAGTTCCTAACGAATGCTTAATATATTCTGGAGAAAATATTAGCCCTTTTCAGCCTAATGACACAGACAGCAGTTCCAGTCTTTAAAGTGGGATGGAGAGGGAAAGAGTTTAGGAACAGGATTAGGAAACTTTGAAAGAGCTTGAAGACTTGGTAAATGTTTAAAGCAACTGTCTAAATCCTTGATCCTACTTTTGAGAAAGGAAACTTGCATCGGCATCTTCCTCCTGGCATCCTACCCTGGGTTGATGTAGAAATAGCATCAGTTCCATGATGTTCTCCTGGACTTCCTTCAGGGACAAACCTACTTCCCCATCTCCAATGAGCTATCACATCTTCCCCAGTGCACATTTCACTGCCGTGACTGTCTCTGTTCTTATCTGGGAATTCATGAACAGTAACAGTTTCTTGCCTGAGGAAGGAGATGGTCGTGTTCTCTTAGATCAGATACTGTGATCTCTGTATTTCCCCTTTTGGTCTCCCACTAGTGACAGCTGCACTTTGAGAGCCAGGGAGGGTGATGTTGAAATCAGTAAATATATCACCCATCATCTTTCACTAAACCTTTATTATACTAAAGTTTTAAACCAGATTCATAATTAAAGAATAACTATACCAGAGTCTGCCATCAGCACTGGCAAAATGAGGTATAACCCTTCAGTGGATTCTGGGCACCTCAATTTGCTTCTTCTGTCCTTGGCATTGAGTTTTCTTCCACAGCCTCATTGCAACAACTCCTGTGTCCTCACAGGCCAAGATGTCAGCCTTACTCATCTCTTTGGGTAGATGGACAGGAGAAAAATTTAAAATGTGCACCTAATGTTAGCAAGAGGATGGGTGGTTTTATTTTGCTCTTTTTCATACATGTCATTTTGGTTTTGTTTTTTGAAGGGGTTTTTCTTTTGTTTTGAGATAAGGTCTTACTACTTTAGCCCTGTCTTAGCCTCTCTGATGCTGCTGGACCTTGTTTTTTCGAACAAGAAAAGTTCATAGAAGTTGATGAGAAACTATGGCATTAACAGACAAGAGAAGTGAACAGATAGTTACCAATGAACTAAACATTAAACAATCCCACAAAAATTCAAGTTGTACCTTTTAAGTATTGAATTAGGAAAAACAATGTTAAAAATAATAGCAGCAGGGGTTGGAGAGATGGCTCAGTGGTTAAAAGCGCTGGCTGCTCTTGTAGAGAATCTGGTTTCAGTTCCCAGCATCCACATGGTGGCTAGCAACTGTCCATAACTCCAGTTCCAGGGGAATTTGATATCTTCTTCTTTTATTTTTTTAGCTTTTAAAAAAACTTTATTGAGAATTTCATACATGCATAAAGGTGTTTTGATCAAATCCACACCCACTCCCTCTCCTCCAACACCTCCCATATCTCCCTCTTCTGACCTCCTCTGGTCATAGGTCAGAAGAAGGAGGCAGGAAAGCAGTGAAAGTGGTATCAGATTTTGCTTGCTTTGAAATTTTGCCTAAGGCAGGTTTTAGTTTCTAGGTATGTGCCACTGTAGAAAAGTTATGGACTAGTTGAGAGAATTTAAGAGAAATATTTTCTTCACTGTCTATTTTGAATGTACATTATCAATTTTCAGGCCTTATAACTAAATTTTAAAATGGTCATCTTAGCATGCTGATTTCTCTTCACTTGGCTTTATATGGCTTTGAGATACTAAGAGAAAGTTATTGAACTTCCAAACTTCCTACAGTGTGTCTGTACACATCAGTCATTGGGTTGGTGATCAGGACTATTTCAGTTAGAACTGACGACATGAAGTTTTCTTACTTACTGTTAGGAGCTCTGTATATATTAGAAAAAGATTCGTCTTCTAATACTGTCATGTTTTTCAGTTGTGGAATAAAATTATTTTTGTGTTTTTCATTATTAGGTAATTCTAAGAAGATGAGAATATTTAATATCTTTACATTTATAACCTACTGTCATTTGCTTAATGGTAAGTCACCAAATCTTGTTATTAGATTCTATATTTTAAATACTTTAATCATAAGTTAAAAAGTAAAATAATCTGTATATGTGTACATGTATGATGCATCTATGCATGCGTGTGTGTGTGTGTGTGTGTGTGTGTGTGTGTGTGTACTTGCCGTGGCACACTTGTGCTGGTTCTCATGTTCCGCCTTTGAGTCAGGTCTCTTTGTTGTTCATGGTGGTGCATGCCAGGCTAGGTGGCCCACAACCTCCTGGGGCTCCTCCTGTCTCTGCCTCCCATTCCTCCATAGGAACACTGGGATTACAGGTACATGCTACAGCACCTGACTTTTCCATGGGTTTTGAGGATTCAAACTCAGGTCTCATATGTATGCAGCCAAATACTTTACCCACTAGACCATTGCTCCAGCCTCCAAAATAATTTTAAATAAATATAATTTGCTTATAGAAAGCACATTCTAGTTTTCCTTCTTTTTTTTTGTCTTTTTTTTTTTTTTTTTTTTTTTTGTCTTTTTTGATACAGGGTCCCTGGAACTCACTAGTTAGACCAGGCTGGCCTTGAACCCACAGAGATTCACCTGCCTCTGCCTCTTGAGTGCTGGGATTAAAGGTGTGCACCATCATGCCCGGCTTAGTTTTCCTTCTTTATAAATAAGTTACTTCTACCATTGTATAGAGATAAAGGACAATATAGGAGGAGCTGTGGATGCAGTTGAGTGGTAGAGCATGTGCCTAATATGTACGAAGCCCCAGCACTGCAAGAAGAAAGGGGGGGTATAAGAAGTGCAGACAGAACAAAATTAGCAGATTATCCATTTCTTAGGAATAACTACTGAAAATTCCTTGCAAAATGGCCCACTAATACATTTTCTTTTACTAATTTCTTTTAAACAAGGCTAGGAACATACTGTCTAGATTGTGCTCTTCCTGATGAAAATACTTTAAAGAATTTTAGTGTGCCTGTAATTCACCAAATGAAGTGCTGGTAAACCCTTTACCCATTTTGCAAAGGTGTTGGAAGAATTTTCCATCTTCTAAACACTGGTCCTCTTTCTTTTCAGCATTTACTATCACGGCTCCCAAGGACATGTATGTGGTTGAGTCTGGCACCAATGTGACAATTGAATGCAGATTCCCAGTAAGCACCAAACTAGACATGCTTTCATTAGTTGTCTACTGGGAAAAGGAAAATAAGCAAGTTATTCAATTTGTACACGGAAAGGAGGACTTGAACCTTCAACACAGTAGCTTCCGGGAGAGGGCCTGGCTTTTGCAGGACCAGCTCTCCAAGGGAACCGCCGCACTTCATATCACGAATGTGAAATTGCAGGACGCAGGAGTTTACTGTTGCATGATCAGCTATGGTGGTGCAGACTATAAGCGGATTACCCTGAAAGTCAATGGTAAGAAGGAAGGTTTTACCTATTTGAAACATCTCCCAGGTGTTTAGAGCTTTTCATTCTTGAAGTTCACACTTACTTTCCACCAGCACAACTGCAATCTGTTCATTCATTCATCCATCCATCCATCCATCCATCCATCCATCCATCCATTCACTCACACATTCATCCAATGAGTTCTTCTGAGCACTTTGCATTTGACAGTAACTGGAGATCCAGTACCAAACAGCACACAGCCATGCCCTGCAATGTGATTGTACTTTCAAAGAGTAAATTCTAGGTGTTTACTTATTATTATCATTATGAAAGCAATATATGTAGTTACAAACAATCCAGATAGTATTAAAAAGAATAAAATGAATTGTAATCACTATTTTTGTGTCCCTCCAGAATATTTTTTTATTGAATTACTATTTTTTTAATTTTACAAAAACTTTATTGAGAATTTCATACATGCATATAAGGTGTTTTGATCAAAACCATGCCCACTTGTTCCCCTCCCACATTCTCCCCTCTGAAGAGGTAACCCTAAAATCTTTTAAGGATTAGATACAAGCTCCCAAATACTTTTGACATTTTTGGCCTTTTGAACAGAATATGTGGCTAACAGTCCCAAGGACATTTTGACTTTTAGCCAAGAAACTGGCTACGTTTCTTTGGGGTCTTTTTACCCTAACTGCCTAGCCAGTTCCTACCTCCTATTCTTATCATGCCATCCTCTGAAGGGGTTACCCAAATTGCCAATAGGGAATAGGGATGCAGACCGCTCTGGCTTCTTCCATGCTGAACAGGGACACAGGGTGAAGTAATTAGGGTACCCCTTCAGTGGTTCTATCTAAAAGACTCCCAAATTGCATAACTCTTGTCTCTAAGGGGAAAAGAAAGTCCTTGAATCATGAATAGGAGATGTGAAGGAGAAGTAAAGGCAAGAGTAATTAGCATTACAAGTTCCAGACAGGGAACTAGAAAAAAGTCAGAACAGGGCAATTTTCAAATGTTCATATGAGAGTCCATTGGAGTTTCTTGACAAGGCCTTCCAAAAGCATCCCTCCATTGGGTTCTTCTTCATTTTTCTTTTATCTTCCAAGGCTGGACTAGTTGGCTGGGAAGAGTGGCTGGA